GGAAGAGGCGGAGGGGGGGGGGGGGGAGGAAGCGACCTGAGGACTTACAGACTCAGTCATATTCTTGGGGAGGTTAGACACATAGAGGTTGGTGGATTGTTCGTCACCCTCAGCCTTCAGGCGAGAATTGAACGACTCCTGTGAACCAATGTGAGCAGTGACTGGAGATTTGGACTCAGAGTGTGGTACCCTAGCAAATCCGACCTCATAGCCAAGCTTGTGGAATCCACGAATGCATAACTCCGAGTCACGGACAGCAAAGTACTTGGCGAAGCCGAAACTGGAGCAAGGTTAGACGAGTAGACGGAGAAGGCGGCGGGGGAAACTTACCCTTTGCAGGCCCCAGTGGAGGTATCGATGATGGCCTTTGATGTCTCAACCTTGCCAAAGCGAGCCGCATAGGCGGCAAGAGTCTCATCATCAGTGTTGGGGTGAAGACCACGAATGTAAACATTGCGGTTTCCAGGAATTGGGTTAGACAAACTCTGGTCAAGAGTTCTCATGCTCTCACGAGGAGTGAAGACAGCGGGAACAGCTCGGGGGATGGCAGGGTGTTGAGTAAGCAACGCATCAAGATCAATGTTGATAGGGATGGTCTTGTATGGCAGAGACTTGGCCTGGTGCTCAGCATGCTGGACGGGAAGCTCTCGGGGAGAAGGCGTGGATCCAAATGGGGAGCGATCAATCGCAGCGATGTGCGTACCTCCCTCACGATGAGTGGAGCCGTAGTGAGGGGTGCCGGGGGCAGACTCGTTGGTTGTGGAGTAGGATCCCCGACGGTTCTCGAGACCTGGAACGTCCTTGTAAAGCTGCTCAGCGTAGCTGGAAACGCGGCTGGGAGTGTATGGGACGTATTGCATGGCGGAGTAGTAACTAGGGTATGCTCCTGCTGCGAAGTATGGCATGGGGGCAGCCCCTCCGTAGGCGCTGTAGGGGAGATTCTCCGTAGGTTGAGCCGCAGCCAGAGGTTGAGCGGGGTAGGCAGAGGGAGCAGCCAAATAGGTGTGATCAGCAGGGTTGTAGAAGTATTGAGTTGGGACCTGAGGAGCACCGAGGACAGTGGGAGCCATGTTGAAGGCGCCGAGGGAGCTGATCATGGCACTGATGTCGTTACCTCCAGGCATAGGTGTACCATTATAGGAAGCCGATTGCCCTTGGGACTCGCGATGAGTGCGAGCCTGCCCCTGAGCGTACATGTTGGATGTGGTACGGCCATGGAAGGAGGTCTCTCCGTGGCTTCCTGCCTGTTGATAAGACATGTCGATCTGAGGCAGTGCGAGTTAGTTTCAATCTATGGAGTGCGTGTGAGTTGTGATGTTGAGGCAATGATGTTCGAGGTGGAGGAGTGGGGAGGGCAATCTAAGAAAGATGTAGGCGGGAGCAGCTCAAAAGAGAGCGGGTGAATAGGAAAATTGAGGTGAACTTTCCAAGCCTCGTAACAAGGCTTTCGGGACAACAAGGACGTCGCCGCCGCAGCCCGATCAGTGCAATTAGCTTACCGTCAAAGTCTCTGCAAGGAGAGGTTGAAAGATCCTAGGTGCCTTTAGAGCGATTGCCTGCAGTCATTCAGTTGATTCAGCAAACTGTCAATGTGATGCGGGCATAGAAGGCCGATCTGCAGGAAGACAAACCTGCTCGTTTCTTCAGACCAAAGACAGCTGATACGGCCTGTTGTCTCCTGCTGCTGTTGCTGCTTGCTGCTTGCTGCGAGGAATGAGAGAGGTGGTGATGGGTCGAGTAGCGACTGGAGGTTCTAGAAGATAGGGAGCTATCAAGCCAGATGGAGTTGTGCTGTGTTGGGTTGTTGTTGGTGTAGTACGTAGAAGTTGCGGTTGTGGGATGGATTGTCGAGATGATGGAGGAGGAAAAGAGAAGAAGATGAGCAGGCGAGAGGACAGTCGGGTACTTATGCGATGACGATGGCCCGGGGCGAGGAGTTAGGAGTGGCCGGCGATGGGTCAGGTAAGAGCGTTGTGGTGGCCGTGGTGGCCGTGGTGAAGTAGAAAAGGAAGGTGCGATCGAGGGTTAAGAGGCGAGCAAGAGGCGTCCAGGTCAACCAAGGTCAACCAACCTCAACCAACGTCGTCCAACGTCAACGTCAACATCGGCCTCCAAGTCGAGTCCAGCCGGATACGATGAAGGACGCTTAATACAATTACACGTAAACAGAAAACTGCAAGAAGGAAGCCGCTGACCATAACACACCAGAGACGACCACAGATGGCAGTCCGTCTAATGCAACAATTTCAAAGGAATTTCAATAAGGATATACCACCGGACAGTTGCAACAAGCAGCGGGAGGGAGGGGAGATTAACGAAAGGATACAGATAATGCATACACACGCGTGTCTCTGGAAGGGAGGGGAGGGAACAAGACCTTCTTTATGAGAACCACAGGCCGGCTTCTGTACAGCGTAAGTAATGTCCGTAATGTAATGCAATGCAGACAAGAACGGCTTCCATTACGCAACTAATCTGAAAGGCAGGTGCATGGGCTCAATTCCAGACGACAAAGATCGATCCGATCGCCTTCCGAAGTTCCTGCTGCAAGCACTTGCTACCAGGAGCCAGGAGCCAGGAGCTAGGAGACAGGACCGGGGAGACGGCTTGCTGACAAGGAGCGTTCGATGCATGTTTCCTTCTTCAGGAAGTCAGAATCCCATCTGCAGGGTCCGGCGACAGCCTTTGATTGCTTCGAGCGATCAATCAAGGCTGGTAATAATAGGGCCGCAGCACGAACCTGAGATCTGATAGAGACTCGCACGGATGTTCATGTACGCCTTCGAACGGGTATCTTCCGTTTGGCTCTCCCCAACGTCGAAGATACAGATACGTACCGAACTTAAGCATATATCTTCGGTCATCTATTCTAGATCTCCTTTTTGGATGCAGACGCCGCTGACCATGATTCAGCCATACGTGGAGACAGGAAGAAACCGCCGTTGCTAGCTTCCACAGATGGGGGGGGGGGGTTCAATTACAAACTCACAAAGCCTTTCTACAAGGCCACAAGGTGAGATAGATGTAAAGGGTCAAGAAAGTCATAGGTGGTGGTGCGTGACTGCCTGCGTCTCCGTCAGTCAAGTCCATATTATAGGCCGTTTGTCGTTTGTCGGTCCGTCAGCCAGTCGTCCATCACGGAAATGCCCATTCCCTACCGTGGTCCGGCCTTACTTCTATGCTGCCCTAGTCCCAGATTTCTCTATTCCGTTGAGAGGGGTCCGAGACACCCCGAATAAAATAAAAAACTCATGCCCTTGCATTGGTCAATAAAGCCTATCACCTGAGCAGCGGCAGCAGCAGCGCCGGAAGAAGCAAAGAAGCGGACCCGTTTATCAAGCCACGAGTGCGCAGTGCAGAGAACTACGGAGTATACAAACATGCAAATCGACCAGACCAGAACAGAACGGAACAGAACAGACACTACCTAGCTAAGCATCTCTCTCTCTCTACTCTCTCTCTTCTCTCTCTCTTCTTCTCTCTCTCTGCTCTCTCTCTGCTCTCTCTCTTCTCTCTCTCTTCTCCCTCTCTTCTCCTCCTCTCTCTATTCCATTTCTATATCGCAGCTCTCATGCCCCTCCCCCACCTGCAAAAATCACATATCAGAAATCCCATCAAGAGCAGACGTTGGCTAGTGGCATATAGGGAATTACTGTACCTTCGTTCGGGTTCGGAGGGTTAGGGTTCCGTAGATCCCGTCATAGCCAAACCCAGAACCAAACGGAACCAGTGACCAAAGGAACTTTTCTTTTCCACACACCGCCGCCGCCCCCCCTTGCTCCTTGCCCTCTCCCTCTCTCGCTAAAGTAGGTATTCAGATCGATCATCATCGTCATTATCATCATCATCATTATCATCATCATAGGAACCCCCACCACGTCTGCTACGGTACGGAGGAGAACAGAATCCGAATAAATAAAACCAACCGTGGGGTGGTTTGTTATTCAATTGATTTTTTCTTCTTCTTAAACTAGGTAGGTATAAAGGACAAGGACATGTAGGTACATATCTGTGTATCTATTTACCCTGCTCTACTATACCGTTCACTTTTCTCCTTCTTATATATATCTTCACTTGAATTTCTTATCTTCCCCCTCCCCCTCCCTTTCCTATCTTCCCATCCCATCTCATCTCATTCTCATCTCATTCTCATCTCATTCATCTCATTCTCATCTCATTCTCATCTCATCTCGTTCCTTTTTTCCCCTTCTCTTTTTTTCACTTCCCTCTCCCCTCTTCCCTCTTCCCTCTCCCCTCCTCATCTACTACAACCGACATCATACCGCGCAATGCGCGAGAGAGAGAGAACAGCCCAGCTCAGACCTCAGAGTCCCTACCTACATACCTATACAACCCAATATCAATCAATACCGGTATACCCCACCCAACTCCCCCACCCAACCCAACCCAACCCAACCCAACCCAACTCAACAAACACACCATGCTCTACCGGCTCGCTCACTCACTGCTAGCAGGTCTCATTCACCCATCCATCCAATTATCCATCCATCCATTCTCATCTCCCAATCCACTTCCATTCCAAAAACCCTCTTCAGTTCTAATACTATTCTACATGCGTAACCTGCCTCCATACCCGTACTATACCAGGCAACCGCAACCAGGCAGCAGCCCACTCACATCATGCAATACCTGTTCCATCTCATCTCATCTCATCTACCTACCTACCTTACCTACCTATCCAGCTCAGTGACCAACCAAGGTCCCACGGGAGAAATGTAAATTATGTTTCAAGAAAAAGAGAAGGGTTTATTTTTTACACACACTCATTTGATGTATCTATCACCACCCTCTCCCCCTCCCCCTCCGATCTTTTACGACAAGGAGGACAAGGAGCTACACCTCCTCCAACTCTCTAACCCACACCCGAAAAATAAGGACAAGAGCCAAACTTTCTACGCAAAACGACTATGCAGCAGCCGGGAAATAGTGGAATCTTAAAAAGACAACAAGACTTCAGTCCCACATATCTCTCCCCCCTAAACCTTCTGCACATCGTACCACCTAACTCAACCCATTAGAAGCACAAACGAATTGCGCTAGCGAAAAAAAAACCCCCATGTATCAACCCGCTGTGAGGTCAAACCCGCTGTGAGGCAGCAAGTGCCGACCCAAATATCAAACCCAACTCCGCCATAATGCGGGAACGAGACGGACGAAAATAGAAAGAGACTCGTGTCAGTCATTTGCAAGAGAAGAGAGAGGAGATTGATCCGATCGATGAGGATCGGTAGCGAGACGGGTGCGGCTGTTTGCATGCGTGGGAGGGACAAGGTGCCGGTGCCGGAGCGGGAGGGCGGGTGATTGGGTAATTTATGACCAGACGTCTTCCTATGAGAGGTATTAGTGTTTGACCGTTTGCGCAGTTGTAGATTTCGAGAGATGATAATTGATATCTCGAGATTCGAGGTTGGCTGCATTCATGTGGTCGACGGCTCCGACGGAAGGGTTCCTCGAAACGGAAGACAAAGGTAAAGGTGCAACGGGACGGAAAATTACATACTTGGTACTGGTTCGCAGATCTCATGGCCTTGACAATTTCTTCGGCTTTTTTCTCAGGGATACCACGCTGCTCAGCAATAATCTTCGCTAAATTTGTGTTGACCTCGCGTGCCATGTTGGCAGCGTCACCACAGACGTAGAAGTATGCCATTTGCAGGAGCAATTCGTTGACTTCCTTTGCGTGCTCTTGGAGGCGATGTTGCACGTAAACCTTGGTGGGGCCGTCGCGGGAGAAGGCGGTGATGAGGGAGAACTTCTCGCCGAGGGCTTCTTTGTATTCCTGATTCGGCGGTCAGTACTCTTGCCTGAAATTCGGGTGATAAAAAGGGAAATAATAGCTTACATCCCACTCAGACGAGTACAGGAAATCCTCCGTCTGCTTTCTGCAGCCGAAGAATAGGATGGTCTTTCCCACCTCCTGCCCAGCCTTAGCTTGAGCAGCTCGCTCCTGCACAAAAGCGCGAAATGGTGCGACACCAGTTCCCGGTCCAACCATAATAATGGGCTTAGAAGGATCAGAAGGAAGCTTGAAGTTGGAGTGGCGGACGTGAACCGGGACATGGACTCCATCGTACTTGTTGCGTGGTCCGGTGATGTCGTATGTCAGTCCATGAGGATCCGGGTTTGGATCACCATGTTGCTTTTGCTTCAGGGCCAGAAGGTAGTTGGTGGTAACGCCCTTGAGATGGTCTTCCCGGCCTGGAACAGGAACAGACTCGACGACCGCCGTGATGGATATCTTATTCTTCTGCACGAGCGACGAGGAAGAAATCGAGTAGTATCTGGGTTGAACCTTGTTGAGGCCTTCGATGAATGCTGAGAAAGGAATCTCTGTCCACTCTGCCTTGGCGACTGACTGTAAAGCCTGAGCGATGTTGTAGTACTTGCTGCTGACTCTTTGGTGGAAGTATTCTTTGTCGCTTCCGAGCTTTGCCATCTCAGCCTTCGCTTCATCTGTCGGTGCAAATGGAGCCAAAGTCGCAATGAATTGACGAGAAACAGGGGCACAGATCTCCATGTGGTATCGGACAATAGCATCGTAAGTCGTGGGAGTCGGGAATGGGACCTTGGCGGTGGAATCAAGAGCCTTGACGCTGATTACAGAATCTCTCTTCGAATTGAGCCCAAGGACACCGAGGAACCGATCGACCTCCTTGCCAGCGTTCGTAGGCCAGATAGCGATGTGATCTCCGGTTTGGTAGCTGAGGTTCGAGTTGCTAATATCAATCTCCATGTGCAGACAATTTCGGTCCGCGACGGTGAAGAGCTCTCTGGACTCGGCAATAGGCGCAATGAAGGGGTTGTGGGCGTTGAAAGGACCCTTCTGGCTACCCTCCAGGTGCATCTTGTTTGGCTCGCCCAAGTAGACCTCTGGGGACTCCTTGGTTAGGTTCTCTCGGTCAGTAATGGCGAAAATGGGCTCGTAAACAGCTTCACGCTCCTCTAAGCCCATCTTCTCCGCCAAAGAGGTCCACATAGGGTCTTTCCAAGCTAAGAAATCTTCTTCCATAGTACCAGCACCATCGTCGCCCTCTCCAGCGGCACCAATCAAGGTCGCCCCCAGTTTCTGCAAGGTCTTTGTGACTTTTCGGACCATTAAGTTGTAGTGCTCGTAGGTGTTGTTTCCCAGGCCAAATGCTACAAACTTCAGATTCTCGAGTGGGGGGTCTGAGGCGTTCGAAAATGAGACGTCCTCTCCAGTGATGAACTCGTAGAAATCGACAGCGTTATCGGTAGGTTCCCCTTCACCGTATGTGGCTAGCACAAACATAGCGACCTTGTCCTCGGGGAAGGTGTCGAGGTTATCGAAGTCGTACTCCTCGAGATCCGCCACCATAGTCTCCAGGCCGAATCGACTCTTCCCCTCCTTTGCTAACCTCGAGGCATAGTCCTCTGCGGTCCCTGTCTGCGATCCGTAGAAGACTACGCAGTTCTTGTTGGACTCTTCCATCTTCTGTACGATGTCCCGCGTCTTCCCCGCCTTGTTACCATTTGTGTTCGCATAGCTAGAGGCATATGGATCTTTGACTACTCCCCAGTACGTCCCCTTTGTGAAGTAGGCAACAGTGCCCAAGAGCAAGACGCCCAGGACAACAATATCCAAGGTGTCGAGTTGGGCCATGGTAACGGAGGAGGGGGGGGGGGAGGGGAGGCGGTTGTTGAGGACAACTTGGGCGGAGGGTGGAAGCAGCGTAGTCACTGAGCTGAGGATGCGTCGAATGTGTCGAATGTAGTCGGCCAGCAGCGTCTTTCTTCCTCTTCTTCCTTCTTTCTTTCTTTCTTTCTTTCTTTCTTTCTTTCTTTCTTTCTTTCTGCACTCTGGCTGGCTGGGTTGAATGTCAGCGGCGAGATGTGTGGGCAGTATGTATGAACGGGTAGAGGACAACCCGATGAATGAGACGTACGAGGTGAGACAAAGATGCCGGAGACTAGCAAAACTGCAAGTCGGAGCTGACCTGAGCCGGGGCAAGATAAGATAAGTAGGGCGGCTGCTGGCTGGGGATTGGGGGTTGGGGACTGGGGACTGGGGACTGGGGACTGGGGACTGGGGATTGGGGACTTAAGTGACTTAAGTAACTGACTGGCACCCAGCTGGATTTTATTCCGAAAGACTCAAGCAAGCCAAGCGAGGGTGGCAGTGGGAGTGGGATAAGTAGGGGAGTACCTAGAGTAACTGACCACCTCCATGTCCAACTCCACTTGATAACTATTAGGTACCTAATACTTAGAAGAAAAAAAGTAATTAGATCCGACCCCCGATCCCGGGTTCCGGTCCCCACCACACTGACCACACTTGACACCGACGATGCGGTCCGATTCCGCTCGAGCCAGAATCATACTGAAGATTTGAAGAGAAATCATGATAGCTACTTACCGGTACGTATTTGGGTGGCAGGGACACCTGGGACACCTAGCATACGCTCTCTTCGTCGTCTACTTCTTCCATTCAAAAGAGAACGTTGAGGAAGTGGAAGTGGAAGTGGAAGTGGGAGTGGAAGTGTTTCGTCGACATCTTACCTACCGGTACCTTACCCACTCCTGCGTAGGTATCCTGCCTGCTCTTTGCTGTTTGCTCTCTTGGCTTTCTGCTCTTACTACGTATGTGCACATATTGCCCTCAGGCCTATCTTACATGAGGGACTTACCTCAAGGTAT